ACAAAGAACACTTGCAATTCAGTAATACAAAGACAAATAACCCAGGTAGTGGTGGGGGTAAGGGGATGGAGGGATTGAACAAAAATGAAAAAGGACTCATGAACATGGACAACAGTGTGGTGATTGCTGGGGGAGGGTTGTATAAGGGGACTAAATGGTAATGGGAAAAAAAAAACACAATAAAGATTTCAAAAATAGGCCAAAGATCTGAATAGATATTTCTCCAAAAAGGCTATACAAATGGCCAATGAGCTCATTGCCTCAGTTCATTCAGGCTGCTATAATAAACTACCATGCACTGGTGGTTTAAACAGCATTTATTTCTCACAGTTTTGGAGACTGGGAAGTTCAACATCAAGGCGCCAACAAGTGTGGTGTCTGATGAGAACCTGCTTCCTGGTTCATAGATGGCCATCTTCTTGCTGTGTCTTCACATGACAAAATGGGGAAGGGAGCTCTTTGGGGTCTGTTTTATAAGGGCACTAATCCCATTCATGAGGGCTCTACAGTCATGACCTAATCACTTCCCAGAAACTTCACTGCTTAATACAGTCACATTGGCAATTACGATTTCCTTCTTTTTAAATTTAATGTATTGGGGTGACACTGGTTAATAAAATTACATAGGTTTCAGGTATACAGTTCTTTAATATTTCATCCCCCCTTTACCCTCTCCTACCTCTCTCCTCACCCCACTTTCCTTCTGGTAATCATGATACAGTAGTAAGTTTTGATTTTTTTTTTTTTTGCTTAATCCCTTCATCTTTTTCACCCAGCTCCCCACCCCAGGATTTCAACATACAAATGGGGGAGCATAAACATCCAGTTGATTGCAGATATGAAAAGATGCTTAACATCAGTAGTCATTAGGGAATAAAAATCAACACCACAATGAAATACCACTTCACACACACTGTGATGGCTAGAATCAAAAAGACAGACAATAACAAGTGTTGGTGAGGATTTGACAAATTGGAACCTTCATACATTGCTGGTGGGATGTAAAATGGTGTAACCATTGTGAAAGCCATTTTGGCAGTTCTTCAAAATGTTAAGCATCAGAGATATCATATGATATAGCTATTCTACTCCCAATAGAAATGAAAACATAACACCATACAAAAACTTGTACACAAATGTTCATAGCAGCATTATTCATAGTAGCCAAAAAAGTAAAAACAACTCAAATATTCAACTGGTGAATTGATAAACAAAATGTGATATAACCTTGAAAAGTATTATTCAGTAAAAAAAGAAGGAATGAAGTACTGAAGTACTGATAATATATGCTATAGCATAGATGAGTCTTGAAAACATTATGCTAAGTGAAAGGAGAAAATTACAAAACACCACACATTGTATGATTCCATTTATATGAAAAGTCTAGAACAGGCAAATCTATAGAGACAGAAAGTAAATTAGTGGTTGCCTGCAGGTGTGGGTAAGGGGTGGGAATGAGGAATAAGTACAATGTTTCTTTTTGGAGGGATGAAATATTCTAAAATTACATTGTGGCAGTGGGTATACAACTCTATGAATATACTAAAAACCACTGAACTGCATAAGCTTTAAATGGATGAAGTTTATGGCAGGTGAATTATATCAGCAAAGCTGTTAGAAAAAAAATATGTAGCTAGTTAGGATTCAAACCTAGTATCTGGCAAGAGAAGGTAGTCAACAAATGTCTGTTGAATGAATTAACTGATGAATAAATAAACACATATCACTTTAAAATTAGCAGCAAGATAGGGATATCCTCCCTCTATCAAGTATCATTCAACAGTGTTCTGAAAACTTCAGATAATGCAATAAGAGAAGATGAGGTAATCAGAATAAATATTTGAAAGCAAGAGAGAGTATCATTGTTAATTTGATGTAATATAATTCATATATCTAGGAAAACTAAGAGACTATAAAAAGCAACTGGAATTCACATGAGAGTTTGATAATTGGAGTAGATAAAAAATAAAAAGCAAAAGAAAATGAAATTACAAAAATGGATAGGTTATTTTCTATAGAAATAAAAAAAATATGTTATTCACCATGAGGACAAAAACAAATGAAAAATATCTAAGAATGAACTTTTTTTTAAAAAGGGTGCTGGAGCTATAAAAAGAAAACTGTAAAATATTATAGTTTGAATGGTTGTTTTTGAATCAAAATAAAGTGGCTTTAATATTCATGTCAGAATAAATGCTAAAGAATATTAAATAAAACAACCAAAAGAAGAACAGTGAGGAGACTATCACTATTCAATATTAAAAATATTTCTAAAATTGATACAATTTTATAGGGAGTTAGATAAATATATCAGAAGAAGAAATAGAATTCAGAAATAGAACAATAACATTTAGGAATTTATGTCACAAAAGTGGCATCTAATTGAGTTAGAAAATGGTATTCATTAAATGATTAGTGCTGGCAATTTTCCATCCAAATGGAACATACAAATGTTGGTCCCATCTCACAGCACACCAGAATAACTTCCAGTTGCACTAAAATTTAACTTAAAAATAAAAAATGTAAAATATTAAATTTAAGGCCTATACTTGTTTAAGCATGAAGTGTAGGCAAGAGAAGACACTCAGGACCTGTAAAGGATAAAGACATATATCTAATCAGATGATTATTCTTTCTAATTATATGTGAAGACACCTTTTAAAAGTCAACATATAAAGAGACAAAGGAAATATAATTACAAGAAATGACACAAAGTTAATATTCACAAATTAGTAAGAAAGACAAGCCACCCAAAGAAATAAAGAGCAAAGGATATAAAAAATAAATAAATACATTACAATGGTCAATGAAGAGAAAAAGATGTTCAACCACTAGTTGGCAGGAAAGTGCACATGAAAATAAACTAGATATTCTTGTGTTTGGCTCTCAGAATGGGGAAAATTTAAAAAGCACTAACATTCAGTGTGGGAAAGGATGCTGGATAGAGCTGTTTCATATATTGCTGGTGGGAGTTCTAGTTTTAAAAGTTTTTGAAAATAATATGGTGGTATGTATTGACTGAAACCATTCACTCCTGCACCTAATAACCCCTCAGATGACAGCCTCTGACTGTAATTAAGAAATCAATAACAAAATTGCCAACTTTTTGGAAAATCAAAATCTCATATGTAAATAACTAACGGGTCAGAGAGAAAACCACAACAGGAATTAGAAAACAGGAAAAGTAAAGCATAGTGAAAATGTTTAAAATTGTTAGTCTTTAAAATGATTGAAAGTTTTGATATGCAAAACCTGGGACATGGAGCTAAAATGTTCTAAAAAATTCATAAACCTAATCCTTATGTTATAAAAGAAAATGATTGAGTATTAATGAGATAAACATCCAATCAATAATTTTAAAATAAGAATTAAAAGATAAGAAACAATGAAATCAATGGCAGAAATTAATGACACAGGAAACAAAGATACAGAGGTCCAACAAAGTCAAAAGCAGGTTTTTGAAACAAGCCCATCTAAGACCCACTATCACTGACCCCATGAAACAGCATATCTTATTCCATATGCCCCTCCATCACTCCTTCCAAATAAATGCATGATTCAGCCCATGGAACCCCATCACTCACACCAGAGAAATCTTAACTACCCACGCAATAAACCACATGACACACCTCACAGTCCTCATTGCTAACTGAGTCTCCAATAATCACATCACAAACTCTACCATTGACCCCACAGACCACCCATTATTCCTTCCAAAGACCTTCCTTACTCACCCCACTGAACTCCCATCATTCATCTTAACGGACCTCCATGACTTATCCCACTAACACCCTATGACTCATTGCAGAGAATGCTCCATTATTTACCCCACAGACCTCCATCACTAATCCCACAGACCCCTCATCATACCCTAGAGACCCTATCACTCACACCACAGTGCCCATTCCTTACTCCACTAACCCCTTATCACTCACCATATAGACCTCCATCACTTATCCCACAGATCCAATTACTTACCTCATAGACCCCATCAATGACTTCTAGGGATCCCCATGAGTGACCTTAGAGGACCCTCATAGCTCACCACACAGATATCCCCACATCATTGATCCCAGCCTACCGAACACTAACTCCACAGTTCTCCCATCACTCCCACCTCAAACTCTGCACCATTTACACCTTGATACCTTGTCCATCACTCACTCATCTCCCCATCACTCATTCCACAAACTATCCACGTTTTCCCCCACTGACCCCATCACTCACCCATAAGCCACTTATTCTGTGCACCTTCTAAGTGACCCCAGAGAAGCCCCATCATTCACCCTACAGAGTATCAAATCCATGTTATAACACCCCCATAATTATGTGAATACTTTAGTGGCACTAAATTGCCCCTGTTAAACTTAGGCCGGGAGCCGTAAGTGTTGAAAGTGCATTTGAGGAACTCTTTTATCTTGCACATGCTCAGTGGCACCCGGGAATTGACTGTTCGTCTGCAGTTACACCGGGTGCAGTCACAACATCTTAGTGCGTGTGCGTGTGTCCAAGGAGAGGCGGGCTCTCAAATTTTCTTTAGTGACTTTGTCAGGCAACTAACATGGCTGTCCCCTTGGGAGTATCTCTCCGGGAGTCGCCATATTGGAAGAGTAGTCATTTCTGCCAAGGAGCCCGCGGTCCCCGGCCTGATCTCCCCCTGTGGTACTTCCCGGTAGCCGATGGGGTCAGACCACGGGCGATGCTAACCAGACTTCTCCCACTGCACTGTCCCCTAGCAGCCGCCTAGGCTCAGGTCGGGCGCTGTCCTTTCTCAGAACGCAGGTGCTGGCATTCAGGTGTATCCCCGGTGCCCGAGGCTGCTTAATCCGGAGCCATAGCCAGCCACCGTCCCCATCTCAGCTAGAAAGATTCCTCCGAGCAGCCGGCCCAGAAATTGGCCCACCCCCTCCCCCGTTCCAGCCCGGGTCTCACTGCTGGGGCACTGAACGGTCCCCATTCCGCTGGCGGTCGCAGAGCCCGGGGCGCCGCTTCGTGCCCACCTGACAGCACCTCTGTCCACCCGTGGGCTGAGGGCATCACCCGATTCTTCAGCTGTTATGGACCCAGGATCGTTGCCACTGGGGGTAATAGTACGTGTCAGATTTAGGCCAGGAAGCGGAAGTCGCCCGCAGCGAGAGTTTAACCACTCTGGGCACAGGGACTTGAGGGGTGATGGAGAGGCTGACACCAAGAATCTGTGGAGTAACTTGGGTGGGGGGAGTCTGTGACATCTGTGGTGGGGCATGTCATCCAATGTTTAAAAATACATTAGTTGACCTTTATGGTTTCCTTATATAAACATTAAGACTACAGTTTTAAAGATTCAAAATTTTGATTTATTTTCATTAGTGTTAAATTTCAAGTGCTCATTTGTAACTTTCTTCCCCTTTTGACTCATGAATTATTTAGCAGTCCACTGTCGAACTTGCAAAAATGCTTTGAGACCCACAGGGCAAGGAAACAGGTACTTTATTCAGATGGCAGTGACAGGGACAACAGCCCAATGCAGTGTCCCCTAGGGCATGGGGAGTTTTATATAAGAGAGGAGTTTTTGTTTATAGGGGAAGGAAAACAAAGTACTGAGTACCAGCTGCAAGTTTGGTGGGCTTTGATCTGCAGTTGTTGAAATTCAGCCTAAAGGAGCAGTTTACAGGGTGTGGGCCACCTCAGTCCAGCCACATCCTGTTCTCAGAATTAATGACTCAAACAAAGAATTAAGAGGGAGTACAGAATAATTTACAGTTCTTCACTTCATTTTCCATTTCCCCAAACATAAAGTTAATTCCATGTTACTGACATCTATCCTAATTGCACTGTAGTCTCAGAATGTCTGGATGATGTTGAGTCTTTGAAATTTGTTTAAAGTTCCCTTACTGCTTAAATACTAGCCCAGTTTTCAAAACTGTGTCATCTCTTGATTGAACGGACAATGTATTTTCCAGTTGTTGTATTTAGCTTCTGTGTTTATTGGTCCAAGCTTCTTTGTTGGGTCATTTAAAATGTTTATCTCCTTGATAATTTTCTTCTGCTTTCCCCATGCATTACTGAGTGAGGACAGAAATACCCCCACTATATTGTTGATAAGTCAGGTTTTCACTGCACCAGTCAATTGGTGCTTCCTATATTTTGAAATTTTTGTAATCATTTTCAATTGTCGTTCTATTACAGTTGTCCCAATTTCCCCCACTTTGCCCTCCTCTAACCACCCCCCCACACAGTCAATTCCCTAGTATGCAGCAGAAGGAACTCCTACCTTTTGCAACAGCATGGATGGAACTGAAGAATATTATGCTAAGTGAAGTTTTATTATTATACTGTTATTTATAACAGTAGTTTGTTGTTGAATAAATAAATGCAGCCAAAGCACTTTCCCAAAAGGCTGTATCATTTCCAACTCCCATCAGCAAAATATGAATTTATTAAGGCAAATTTCTAGCATTGGATGTCCATGCTCATTTTAATTTTCGCCACTGAGCTAGTACTATTAAGCTGCTTTAATTTGCATTTTCCTAACTACTTGTGCAACTGAGGATATTTTTCTCTTTGTTGACCATTTCAATTTTCTCTTCTGCCACTCTTCAAATCCTTTGTCCAATTTTCTTTGGAGTAATTTGTCTTTTTCATATCATTTTGCAGAAGCTCTGTACATCGGTAATATTAACACTTTGTTAGTTGCGTTGCAATATGTTTCCCCTAACTCTTTTTGTTCTTTGCATCTTATGTGTCCTTTGATCTGTAATTACAAAAATGTATTCTCTCATCAGAAAAGTCTAAGCTTTCTTTTCTGGCTTTTGTATCTCCTGCCTTGCATGATTCTCCTTCCCTATTCTAGACAGTCCTAAAAAGGTAATTTTTTAATGATGCAATAAAAATCCACTTTAATAAATATCACATAGTTTACCTGTAGGGTATTAAGTACATTTTATTTTATTTTGTGTGTATCTCACTTTATTATTTTAAAAATTAAAATAAATTTAGTTACAGTTTACATTCAATATTATTTTGTATTAGTTTCAGGTACACAGCATAGTGGTTAGACAATCATATACTTTACCAAGTGCCCCCCCCCGATATTTCCAGTACCCACCTGGCACCATGAATGGTTATTATATTACTAACTATATTCCCTATGCTGTACTTTATATCCCCATGACTATTTTGGTACTACCAATCTGTACTTCTCAATCCCTTCACCCTAAAAAAGATAGTCTTAACATTAACTTTTTTAATTTTTATTTATTGATTTGAGAGGGGGAAACAAATTTATTGTTCCACTTATTTATGTATTCATTGCTTGATTCTTGTATGCACCCTGACCCGGGATGGAACCCCCAACCTTGGCATAATACAATGATGCCCTAACCAACTAAGCTACCTGGCCAGGCAACATTTATTTCTTTTTTATTGTTTTAATTTTTTTCTTGAACCTTTAATTTAGTTGGAATTTAGTCTAGCATGTGGTGTGAGGTTAAAGTCAATCTTTGTTTTTGCTGTGTCAAATACAAATCCGGATATACATAGGAAGAGACTGATTACAAAGAAAGACTATTGCAATAGGAAGAAAGCTCCCATCTTAGAAATCTGCAAGTATCTCATAACCAAACAGAAAAAGGGCCTGCCTTTCTCATATAGCTAGGTTAAGGACAAGGCAAAATCAGTAGTCTGTGGAGAAGCTGCACAGTCATGGACAACTGCACAATCAGTTGACCAGTGGATCAACTGATTCTCAGAAAAAGCTGAGATAGGGGGCACCTTCCACATTATTTTTTGTGCTTGCTTAGGCAGGGGTGACCAAAGTTCAGGAGCCTGTAGGAAAGACAGAAGCCTGACTAAAGTTTAGCTAACAAGCATTTCTTCCAATTAATCAGAGTTTATGAGGCAAAGAATGGGAATTTGGAGGATCTGTATCTGAACTGTCATAGGTAAACAAGGTGGGGCATCTGTGAGTCCTATCTAAGTCATATACAGAAGTAGGGTTCTTTGCAATAAGCCATTTGCTGGAACACAAAAAAAGTAAGGGTATTTTTTAACTGCCTTGTTTACCAAGGTCACAGGGCTCAAGTAAAATTCATTATCAGCTGGGACCCTTTATGGAACACATAGCTCTGCATTCATTCAATTACATAACACTTCTGTAATATGAGGTCACAAGTACAAAGACTGTGGAAAAACTTCAGCCATTGTTAACATAGCGAGAATGGTTTGTGCAACATTGATGTAACCTGGCAGCCAAGGAGACTGGAATGAGCATGCAAGAATAATGATGACTTCACTGTACTAACAGAGGGGAATGGTAGACGCTGTTGAGTGACGATGTGTACTGTGTGGCTATTACATTCAAAATGACTGAGTGAATAAAGCAACAAATCTGCATCAAATTTGCATTAAACTTGAGTATTCCTCTACGGAAACTATTCAGGTGATCCTGAAGGCCAGAGCTATGGGCAACTGGTGACTGGCAGCTTCATCACAACAAGGCACCCACTCATGCATTATGTCTTGTGCAGAGGTTTTTGGTGAAACGTCAAATCACCCAGGTGACTCAGCCCCACTACAGCCCAGATTTGGTGCCCTGGACTTCTGGCTTTTCTCAAAACTAAAATCACCTTTGAATGGGAAGAGATTTCAGACCCTTGATGAGATTCAGGAAAATATGATGGGGCTGCTGATGGCAATTGAGAGAACTGTGTGAGGTTGCAAAGTGCCTACTTTGAAGGGGACTGAGGCATGATTGTCTTATGTACAGGGTATCTTCTTCAATAAATGTCTCTTATTCATATTACATGACTGAATTCATCTCATCTGAATTCTATTGTGTGTCTGTAACCTGATTTCAAAGAACTTTTGTTCTTGCAAATTTATTTTTCTAGGAACGCTGGAGTTTAAAATTGTTTTATCAAGTTTTGAAATGAATGCTATCCTCTACCTCCCCCAAAACTCCTAACAAAACAAAAGTATTGTGATTTTGAGTTGAATTTTATTCAATTTTATATTAACAGCTTGGAAATAGTCAATGCTTTTTATTATAATAAACCTTTGTACCTAATAAGCCTGCATCTGTATTTGATCATGATTTATATACTGAAATGATATTTTATAGTCTTCTCGTAAGTGCATTATCTTTTCTTATAAATTTATTCTTAGATATTTATAATAATTTTGTTGTCATTGTTCAGATTTATTTTTGCTAATCCTATGTGCTTACTGCTAATATAGGAAAAAAGTACCCATTTTTATCGTTATACTTTATACCTAGTTCCTTATCAAAACCTACCAAGGTTTTGGTAGCTTCCAAGTCTGGTAGCTACCAAGTCTGGTAGCTTCTTTTTTGTTTGTTTGTTTTTGTTATTTATTTATTTATTTATTTTAAAATATATTTTATTTATTATGCTATTACAGTTGTTCCATTCCTCCCCTTTATTTCCCTCCACCCTGCACACCCTCTCCCACCCACATTCCCCACCCCCTTTAGTTCATCTCCATGGGTCATACATATAAGTTCTTTGGCTTCTACATTTCCTATACTATTCTTAACTTCACCCTGTCTATTTTCTACCTACCATCTATGCTACTTATTCCCTGCACCCTTTCCCCCCTTCTGCTCCCACTCCCCTGTTGTTAACTCTCCATGTGATCTCCATTTCTGTGGTTCTGTTCCTGTTCTAGTTGTTTGCTTAGTTTTCTTTTGTTTTTGTTTTAGGTGTGGTTGGTAATAACTGTGAGTTTGCTGACATCTTAGTGTTCATATTTTTATCTTCTTTTTCTTAGATAAGTCCCTTTAACATTTCATATAATAAGGGCTTGGTGATGATGAACTCCTTTAACTTGGCCTTACCTGGAAAGCACTTTATCTGCCCTCCCATTCTAAATGAAAGCTTTGCTGGATAGAGTAATCTTGGGTGTAGGTCCTTGCCTTTTGTGACTTGGAATACTTCTTTCCAGCCCCTTCTTGCCTGTAAGGTCTCTTTTGAGAAATCAGCTGACAGTCTTATGGGAACTCCTTTGTAGGTAACTGTCTTCTTTTCTCTTGCTGTTTCTAAGATTCTCTCCTCATTTTTAATCTTGGGTAATGTAATTATGATGTGCCTTGGTGTGTTCCTCCTTTGGTCCAACTTCTTTGGGGCTCTCTGAGC